AACCCTCCCCGCCCACTCACTCCTTACCCAGCAAACTTGCCTGCTAAGTTGCTATTTTTCCTTTTTCCAACCATCAGCTGTTCTGCTGTGCCGGGAAATTTAGATTAGTTAGAAAACAGGAAATTGTTCGATTTCTTGCTTTCTAGCTAATCTTTAGATCTTCGGCTACCTCCCTTAGGACTGAAGATTCTATTATTCAGTTGCAGACTCAGATAGACAATGGCAGAAACACAAATCTCTAAGTGAATCTGTGATTCTGTGAACAACTCAATCTGCCTGCCTGCTTTGTCTGATTTGGGGTAAAAGTTGCTCTCTTTTTAATAAAAAAAAATTCAATATTTACATACATGGCGTGGTGTGAGTTAATTTTATGAGTTTGCTTGCTAGCAAATTTTATGAGTTTTGCTTGCAAGCAAATTTTATGTGACAGACTCAGGTAGCCAATGGCAGAAACATAGATCTCTAAGTGAATCTGTGATTCTGTGAGCAACTCAATCTGTCTGCCTGCTTTTGGGTAAAAGTTGCTCTTTCTTTTATAAAAAAAAAAATCAATATTTACATAAATATTTATAATATTTACATACAAGCCATGCTCAGCCAGTCACATGACTACCAAGCCACACCCACAAATTAGGCCATGCCCAAGAACCGGTTGTTAAGAAATTTGAATCCCACCCCTGCCTCTGTGTATTTGTGTGTGTGTATGTATGAGAGAGGGGGGGAGGGGAGAGAGAGGTTAGATCAGATCCCTCTCTCTCTCTCCCACCAACAAGCCACCATCAGTCAAAATTCATATTAGTGGTCCCCGGGATTTAAAATTATAAGTTTGGTGGCCCCTGAGGTCCAAAAGGTTGGCAACCTTTATCTGCACTACTGAGCAATTAAATTAAATGTAGCAAAACAGAAGTTTAGCCAAGATATCATAGGAACTGTATAAATATATTCAAAACATTTACTTTAGTTATATATTAAGGCTGTGATTAACTTTGCCTGTGCTTCTGAGGAGAGAAGCAATCTAGAACTAAGAAGAATTTTCCTGACAGTTAAAACAGTTAACCAACACTGGAAGTTTTTAAAAAGATGTTGCATAACCATTTGTCTGAAGTGGTGTAGGGTTTTCTGCTAAGCAGGGGGTTGGACTAGAAGACCTCCAAGGTCCCTTCCACAACTCTGTTATTCTATATTCTAAGTGCCTTTTTCTCTCTGTATACAAAGTGCTGCACCGTCTATTATATATTGGCATTACTGGTGACTGTGTTGTACTTCTTAAGCCACTCCACACTATAGTCAGATTTTACAAAATTGAGAACAACTATAGTGTGCCACATATTTTCAGAACAGTATCTAGATTCAAATCTGCTCATGGGGTTCCATATATAATTTATGCTGAAGCTCCTTCAATACAAAATGCCTGAGCTGTATTATCTCTACTTGCTTGCCAGTGAAAGCAGCAACCAATCTGCTGCACGCCAAAAAGTACGGCACATGGATGACTCCTTCCATTTCAATTATGTGTTGCTAAAATTATGTCAACTGTAAAATCAATGAAGTAAACTAAGCTCAAGTCTAGACAGCAAATGTTGTCAACAGCATTAGCTTTCTAAAGCAAGACAAAGCAGATTTGAAACCAGTGATGTTTGCCTAAAAGAAATTGTTGCAAAGTCTGCACAGCTGACAAGAGATATACTAAAGCCCAATAAGAACCATTTTGTTTATCATTCTGATGTAATAATGAGAGAAGAACAAACAATTTTATCCAGAAGGAAAATAGTTCAACATAGTCCTAACTGGGTAAAGTTAACCTAGTAAAATACATCTTCCCATCTTCTTAGGTGATTAAAAGTCAATTATTAATTTGGCAAACATAACCTATTTAGTTATTAACAACTATCTGAAGTCACATGTACCTTGATAAATGCTGATAGCAGGTTAGACATTTCAATGGAACAAAGGATAAGACTGCACCAAACAGGGGGGGGAGGGGAGGGGAGGGGAGAGGACAGGAGGAATGTAGTTCCCTGGGTATTTTAGTTTATTTCAATGATGCTGAGCCAAAGGAACTTGACTAAATAATAGCTTTGTGATCCATTTGTCGGATAGCAAATGATACAACTTGATTCCAGAATTCTGCTTCAAACACAGCTGAGGTCTTTCATGACCAAATGTAAGAAAATATATGCAACCAAACCAGAAAAAGAAGTACCATACCACAATAGAATGCTAGATATCAGATGATTCCATCTTGATTTCTCTCCAGAAGCCACCCCTTATAAACTATTTTTTTTTCTATTTGCAGGCTTAATCGTATATTCTAAAAATACACCATCCCCAAACAAGTTCAGTGACAGAAGAGATGGTACACCTCCACTTTTATCTAAAAATAATTGAAACATATTTATTCTAGGACTTCGGGTTGCCCCTTTTTCCTACAATAGTTTTCTGTATTTCTAAACTTCCATGAGAGGAAGCCAGTTTTTTTTTTCCAGAGAATCAGAAGAATTTGCTATAGTAGATTAGCAAAGAAGCAACCAACAGCAGCTTGCTTAAGGTGGCATGGCAGAAGGCCAGCGGTTTGTGCCGTTGGCAGAAAAGATGGCAAGCAGGATGAGCTCCTCAGGTAGGTTCTCAACAGAAGGAGAGAGAAAAAAAGATTTTCTTGATGGGTTTGCAGTTCCCATCAAGATGCAACATCTAAGATCAGTAATGGAGGAACAGGGTGGACAGTTGGCACAGCGAGCAAATGGTACCTGAATACACCTGCAATTTTGTGACTGACTGCACCTACATTCTTCTCACTGGATGAGGAAATGTGCATTAAAACAAACTATGTGTCATATGTAACACAGTGTGTATAATAGAGCAAAGTGTTCTTTTTGGTCTTCAAACCTACAGCAATCTTTCAGCTCAAAAGCTCTTAGAGGCAACCATGTACAGAATGTACATACAGGGGCTCATGCTGGTTTAAATCGCTTGCTAATCTCTTGCCACTGCTACTTACTGATCTCTGAACCACTCCGCTGAGGACAAATGAAGCACCACTACCCTTCTATGTATTTCTGCCTTTGGGGCCTTTGAGATGAAAGCCTGCTTAGCAGGCCAGATCCTAAGCTCACAAAAGCTTCTATGGTTGCAGCATTACAATGCCAGATCAATCAATCTGTGCTACAAAAGATTATCAAGAGGATCCTTCTGCAACATTAAAACTATCTAGCCATAGTCAGCTTCCAGACAGCACCCTCTATACACAGCCTGCCTGAATCTAAAGCTTCAGCCATGCAGGGATAAACTAATTATCTCCATCCATCAGCAAAGATCCACTGATAAGATTAACAAAATAGGATTATAATAATTCTAATCCCAGCATTTATTTCAGAGATGCCAAACTATTCGGGTCTTTGCTGCCACATGACAACAGTGGAAGACAGCAAACATTCAGCATGATAAACAAATCCAAGGGTACGTGTGGACAGCCATAATTCAAACCAGGACTGAAATGTAAATGGATACTTTTATGATGCTGCTTGGGCTTTCATTTTCGGCTTTATTCGGCATCCAAAATGACATCAGTAGAGAGGCAGAACACAAGAGTCACCAGATACAGTTACAACTTGATTCTGAGCAGCTTAGGTTTAAATGCAAGTAACAGTGTATTTAGTTGGAAGGATCCCTTGGAAAGAATGTATAAACTTATCATCGTAAAATGCAGCCGACAGTTTACAGGCTTTATGATACCCTCTCTAAGGCCAATGCAAAAGAATAAATTGTTCATCAAATATCTCCCGCATCTCCAGAACAGAATAAAGGCCCTGGTTTCCCCTAGAGCAAGTCTTTAAACTGACCACAAAGTAAAGAAAGAGGTATCCAAAAAGGCTGCTAAATAAGAGACTAACAGCTGTTACAAACTGGAGCCTTCTTCCCTTTTAGAATGCCTTCAGCCAGATTTGCGTTTCCTATTCGGGCTGCTCAGTTGTTAACAGTTTCCATTTGCTCCAAGACCCTAGATTAAAGTTTCCCAAAAGCTGGTCGGGAAGCGGGTGAGGGGCTACGGTCCCCCTCCCCACAATAAAAGTTGCCACGAAGGGCAGCGGTAACGAAAAGGAAACAAGCTTAGACAGTGCATTAGCTTACACAGATGACAGCACTCCGCGCAGCGTTTCCGAAAAAAGAAATGAACCGGAAAAGAGCTTTAAACTTTATGGAGTTGAAGCCTAAGGTAGCGCCGTGGAAGTATTTCTACGGGGTTTCGTCAGCCATGATGCCCACAGAGGATCGGAACGGATCGAAGCGGAATAAAAGCAACTGGAATGGATGGTCAAGACAATGAAGGCGGCTCAACGCCGCTGGGTTCCAGAGAGCGATTATTAGAGGGAACCTGTTGAAAGGCAGCGGAGAGTCCCGCTTTCGTCGCAGCCAGAAGCAACAAACAGCCAGCAACTCCAGCGAGCGCCGGCTTCCGCGGACCTCACGGCTAGCCTAGGGAAGCGAGCAAAGCGAGGCAGCCCCGGGCGGTTGCTGCGCCCCAAAAAAGCTCGAGCTCTGCACAAACAGCGACGAGGCAAACTATGGGTGCTTCCAAGGCGCTCGGCTCGGCTCAACCCAACCCGGAGTTCCCGCAACAAGCCGGCAGCGAAGGTCGGATGCCCGGACCAAAAGAGCGCCGAGGAAGACAGGCAGGTAACAACACCTACACCCCTTTCGGCCTCCACACAGGAGGGACTCCCCGAGGCTAAGCTCCAGTCCGCCGCTTGCAAGCCGAGAAGGGTCCCTCCCTCCAGGCCTTGAAGCCTCTCCCCGGAGCGCGCGTGTGTTGGGCTCTCCTCACGGGGAGAGGGCATCTCCCGAGGAGGCGCCCACCCACCCGCAGCGATCCCAGGTCGGAGGAAGAGGAAGGGGCTCCGGGTGCCTGGCCGTTGCGCTGCGCCCCACCCTGAGCAGAGCAGAGGGAACGAGAAAACTGACGCCGCTGCCGCCCCCCCCCCCCTCCATTCCGGGCCTCTTACCTGGATAAACTGGATGGTGAGCGCAGACTTGCCCACTCCGCCGCCTCCCACCACCACCAGCCGGTACTTTTCTTGCCCCGGGCCGTCCTTACAGCCCGCGGCCATGGAGAAAGAGCCCAGGCCAGGAGAGGCGAGCGAGGGCGCAGCGCTTGCAAAGGTTCGAGGCTCCCTCTGTGATTCCCCCCGCCTCCCACCGGGGCAGCGGATTGCCGATCGCCGCCTTGCCAGCCGCGGGAACCGCAGGCCCAGCCGCTTCTCAGCGCCGAGCGAACAGTAGCGAAAGGAGGGCCGAGAAGCCGAGTCCGCGACTCGAAGGCGGCTCCAGACTCCTCCTCCCCCTCCTCCTGCTCCCCTGCGCGGCGGCCTCGCGCGGAGTGAAAGCGGCGGCAGCGCTCCCCTCCCTCCCGAACACACCCGCTTGGGCTAACAAATGGCCGTCGGGAGGTGGGGGCAGCCATGCAAATATGCAGCGGGTGGGCAGGGGCTTCCTTTGCTCCGCGAGCGGAGGCGCGCCCGGGGGGGGGGAAAGGAGCTGAGGCACGCGCCCAGGCATTGTCTAAGCGCGGGAGGGGAGGGGACGATTTCACACTTTGGAACCTCAGGGGGGAAGATCGACGCCCTTTCCCTTGCCCCGGCCCGGACTAGAGAAAGAGGGGGGAGGGATTTCCCCTCCCCCCCATCTCCCCAGTTGAAGACCCCCGTCCCGCCCCTCTGTGGAAGGAATTCATCACTCCCGGCGGAATCAGGAGCCGCGCCACGCCCCGTTACTCATTCGAGTAGTAGGGCCACCTCATGGGTCCTGAGCTCTCTTCCAGCTTGTCCAGAGGAATGGATTCCAGATGTAGAATTCAGTTTGTTTTAAAGCAAATAACCTCCCAAAGCCCTTTGTGGTAGTTTCAGTTCAGGCAGAGATAACCCCGGGATGCTGCTTTAAACCCAGCCTGACAACATAAGGAAGGATTTTTTGTTTGTTTGTTTGTTTTTACTTTTACCAATCCTTTCTCGGAGGAATGGACTCAGAATTGAACTGCCTTCTCTTAACAGAGGGAGAGGGATATACTACGACTACATCTATCTCCAATCTACAACCCTGTCCTATCAACAGTTCCAAGAAGGCTCCACACCACTCAGGTGAGGACACAGATAAGCCTCCAGGTGACCTTAAATACTCAAATGACCAGCTGCCTGCAAGCATGATAAATCCTTCCATTCCCCATCATCCAGTCAGAGCTGAAGAAGCTTCGTGGATAAGAAGAGAAACGTCTTCAAAGAAAAACCAGAACTTGCCTCTCAGAATTGACTTTGCTTATGGCCCCACAATTCTGCAAAACAAAGAGGCCTCCGGATCACAGCTTTTCAGTGGCTGCAACCCTACTCAGCCTCAGGGAAAATCCCTCTAGCCCCCTCCCCCATGTAGTTAGCTTTCAAAAGCTAAAAACTGAACTGGACAGGAAGAAATGGGTCAACAAAGTCTTGGCCTATATAGGTCCTTGAAAGCATGAGTGGATGCTTCTAGATCAGGAGTGGACAGCCTTTCCCCAAGCTCTTTCCTGCACTCTTCAGAATTTGTGGCATTCTGACATTCAGCAGAGGATCCTTTATAAACACCCCATGTTTTTCATGCGTTGTGAAAGGGAAACAACATGAAAAAGATGTGGAAGCGATAGGGTAAGGGGGGTATAAAATAAAAAGAGAAAAGCTTCCTCTTTTCACAAATTCTTCCCTAAAATCTGTTCCTGCATATTTGTGTGATATCACCCAAACATCACCCCACCCACTGCTGTCATCAGTGGCTCTTCTCCCCAAAATGTGCAACATTCAATCTGTTATAGACGGATGACACCTAAGCATCATCAGCCTCACCACACTGTGCAGCTGTTTGTCTTCCTTCAGTAGATGTTCCGTGAAAAGAAAAAAGGTTTCAAGTTTGCCAGCAGAAAATGATATCGTCTAAATATATTTTAAAATCTTATTATGAATGAGATGGAATTTGACCAGTGAGCATTTAACCTCAATGTCAGCATTAACCTACAACCTTCAGGAGATACTTGGTTGTTCATAATTTAATTTTGATTGTCTTGTTCTCACAACATCTCCATTTGTATCAACAAAAATCTATTTAAACATACCAATATCCTTGAGAGACAAGTATAAGATATATATTTGCTTAGACTAATGTTATATTAATGCTAAATGGCTTGTAGAATACAGTGTCCAAGTACAAGTGGGGCATCTCTGGTTAGAGAAGCCAGAAAAGATACAATGAACCTGAACTCTGAGGGTCATTGGCCCTTCACTTTTCAGTGATTCAACATGGTGTCTTGTCTCATAGTTCATGTCCCACCTCAATCATAGATATTCAGACCACCTCAGACCAGAGGTGGTATTCAGCAGGTTCTGACCAGTTCTGGAGAACCAATAGCAGAAATTTTGAGTAGTTCAGAGAACTGGAAAATACCACCCCTGACTGGCCCCGCCCCCATCTATTCTCTGCCTCCTGAGTCCCAGCTGATCGGCTGGGTCTTCTTTTGTTGCCCTGCCCAGGAGAACGGAGCTGGAAAGCAGGTTAGTGGCGTGGGAAGGGAAGGGGATTTTGCAGTAACCTTTCCCCAGGAGTGGGGTGGGAATGGAGATTTTACAGTATCCTTCCCCAGCCATACCCACCAAGTACGTCATGCCCACCAAGCCATGCCCACCAAGTCACGCCCACAGAACCAGTAGTAAAAAAAAATTTAATCCCACCATTGATTCGGACATGAGCTATACAGTATAAGTAGATATCCTCTTCTTTTTACTCTTTTTCAGCCCCCAAAGGCCCTTGGGTTGAGTGAAGGAAACATTTTTGTCTTTTTTTTTTTTTTTGTAAGACCAGTGCTACTCTCAAATATGTTATATTTAAAACATTGTAGGCCAAACTGGTGCTTCCCCAGAGATGTTGGATTACAGTGTTCAACATCCACAAATAGCAAAATGGTATGTTGAGCAGGGATGATAGATCTTGTGGATGAAGATATTTGGAGGGCACTAGAGAAGGAAGCTCTTACAAACTTCAGACTGAAACAGACAACGATGTCCACGTTCTGTGTTATGTGTGTGTTGTTACAATATCCTTTGTCTAGAATATGTTTCCTATGGAGCAGATTGGAAATACTTTTTGTCATAACTGTTATGAAAAGAAGCATACACTTTTCAGTAATAACAATAAAGATAGTCTTAAGGCATAGCAAAGGGGATGGATGATTAGTGCAGCTTGTAGTCATGAAACAAAGTTTTGAAAACAGAGCATACCGCTATTGTTTTAATACTGTTCTTCATCGATTAGATTTTGGGTTATAATTTCTTTGAGCTAGAAATCCCCTTCTTTTGTGCAATAGCGTAATCAAATACAGACGCTGAGTTTTGCATATTACCAGGATGGAACATGGGGCTGCCAGATAATCTTGCTAAAAGAAGCAGCAGGCAATAGACTCTTCCAAGCCAAATTATTTCAGAGGTGAGGAGGACGACTCAATGGGAGTTTCCAAAGGAGCAGCCCAAATGGATGGAGGAGAGCCATTCCCAGATGGAGTGCACAACAATTTCCAATTTCACAGATTGCACTAAGAGGAGGAAAGGGGTCTCCTTCTAACACCCAAGGAGGAAAGTATGGTGCTCCAGCATCTTCTCTCCACCATCCCGCCCAGGCAGATGGCCAGGACTATCCGCTCTAATAGTACACCTCACTATTTAAGGAGAAGATAGAGCCTGAGTTCTTATTTTGCTGCCCACCAGATGGTCAATAGATAGAGCACTGAACATCTGCACTGTGAGAGAAGGGAAGGACTTTGTGTCAGATCTCCAGCTTGGCTTTGACATTTGTGGACTTCAGCCAAAGTTGCTAAAACAGTCACACAAAGGACAATGATACGGGATGGGTAAAATGATGCCATGTTGTAAGGACTTAGGGCTCACTGTAATTGTTTGAATGAAAGTACTCCAAGGAGGGGCTACTATTGTATCATGTCATGAATAGAGGGGGTGGGATCATGACAAAACAAAACAATGAAAGTGATTAGACCAGGCAGACATTCAAGAATGCATTAGAATGGCAATTGCTTAAAAGGGTTTGTTTTCAGTATGTGGCATGTTCATCTATATACACATGGAAGAAGAATTAATCAAAACCACAATTGATTTAATTGCTTCAGATGAAATATTTAGAGAGTGGATGAAAGATACAAAGATGATGCGATGGAAAGAAGAGGAGAAAAACTAGATTATAAATAGAACACTTTTAAACTTAAGAAAGTTTAAAAAAAAGATAAGAGTAATCTCCCAGAATGAATTAAATGTGAATGAGAAATCTTCTCGGAACAGAGTGCAAAAAATTATACAGCATTTCAGTGTGGATACTTATGCAAGTGGAAGTAAGAAAAAGGATGCTTGGTGGATTGATGAAATGAAAGAGGCCATGGATGAAAAACAAAGGCATATTTTTTAAAAAAATGATTGTTGCAAAAAAAGGATATAATAGATTGTATAATATAGAGAATGTAGTGGAAAAGATAGCTGGGAAAAATTAATAAAAGAGAGCAAGGAATTATTTAAGATTATGGAGGAATTAATATGGCGCCACATCAGCAGTCCTTTTGGTGAATACTTCCTAAGTTTTATTCTTATGAGGATAAAGTAGGATTCCATTGTAAGGAGTGGATGATGATAACACCTTCTAGATAAAAGTTAAAATTAAGACCAAACAAAATAACAAAACAAACATGGGATTTACCGTACTCCCTTTAACATTTCTTTTAGTAATTGTTAGGCTTGTTTAGGCTGTGAGTCAAAGGAGTTTCTCTTTGTAGGAAATGAGAGGCAGCTTGTTTCTTCTTTTCAGCATTTTTAAATTATTACTTTTCAATGCAATGAGAGTCAATCACAGCAGTATCAGAAGCTCAACTACTGATATTTAACTCTTGGCTTAGACTTATTTTGTCAGTCCTGGACTGCTCTTCTGTGTGAAGGGATGCACTTCAATCCATCGGAAAAAAAGTCCCTTAAGCAGAAGCTTCTTTCATGTGGCCTTTCCCAGACCATTTTATACAACCTTGGCTGGTCTTAAGCTAAAAAATTTGACCTGCCAACAATTACTCAAAACTGAGCAGCATTATCATTTGAACTGACTTCCCAGCTTTTTTGTGCTATCAAAAACAATAAGGCATGGCTCACTTACTCAAACTACAACTGTGCTATTGTTTGGGCTCAGTGCAACACCCTTATTTCAGCATTAGTATTGCAAACTCTCCATGGCCCAGTGTCTCTGCCCTCATAGTAGAAAAGAAGTAGACACAATAATGCATGTTCTTTTATATTGAAA